TCCTACATGGAATTCACTTCACATATTAAGACACACACGGATTGAAAATGAAGAGATAGAGAAAGAGATTCCAGGAAAATGAAAAACAAAGAAAAGTGCAGCAATAGCTATATTTATATCAGATAAAATGTATTTCAAACATAAATTGTAAAAAGAGACAAATAACATCATTATACAATGATATAAGGGTCAATTCAGCAAGAAGATATAACAACTGTAAATATATATACACCCAATAACCATCCAGATAAATAAAACAAATATTATTATAGAGAAACAGACCCCAGTGGAATAGTAGTTGGGGACTTGCACAACCCCTCTTTCAATGTTGTACAGATCATCTAAACAGGAAATCAATTTATAAACATCAGATTTAATCCTCGTTATAGACCAAATAGACCTAATAGATATTTTACAGAATACTGCATCCAAAACTTGTGGAATATTCTTCTTCTCAGCACATGGAATATTCTCAAGGACAGACCATATGTTAGGCAACAAAACAAGTTCAAAAAAAATTTAAAAAGAAAATGAAATCATATCAAGGGTCTTTTCTAAAATACAATAGAGTAAGTCTAGAAATCAATAACAAAAGGAACTTTGAAAAATGTGTTCCTGAACAACCAGCGGGTCGATGAAAGAAAAATATTTGAAATTTATTGAAATAAATGAAAATGGAAACCCAACATTTCAAAACCAATGGAGTACAGCAAATGCAGTTCTAAGATTAAAGTTCATAGCAAAAAAACTAAAAGTAGAAAGACATCAAATAAACAACCTAATGCATCTTACAGAACTAGAAAACCAAGAAGAAACAAAAAATTGGTAGAAAAAAAATCTGAATAGAAATAAAAATTGATACTTAAAAATAAAAAAAGATAGATTTTAAAAGTTGTGTTTTAGAAAAAATAAAGTAGACAAATCTGTAACTAGACTAAGAGGAAAAAAAAGAAGATCCAAATAAATTACATGAAAGGCAAAAAGGAAGACATTAAAACTGATACCACAGAAATATAAGGGATCATTAGAGATTATTATGAACAACCATATGTCAATAAATTGGAAATCGAGAAGAAACTGATAACTTCATGGACACATAAAGCCTACCAAGATTGAAAAATAAAGAAATGCAAAATCTGAATAGACCAATAATAAGTTAGAAGTAACAGAAATTCTCCATCAAAGAGAAGCCCAGGCCTTCATGGTTCCACTGCCAAATTCTAACAAACATTTAAAAAAGAACTAATGCTAATACTACTCAAACTCTTCCACAAAATTCAGGAGGAGGCAATACTTTCAACCTCATTCTAAAAGGCCAATATTACCATGATACCAAACCGGACAATGACAAAAAAAAAAAAAAAGCAAATTACAGACCAATATTTCTGATGAACATGGATGCAAAAGTCCTCAACAAAACATTAGTAAACCAAATTCAACAAAACATTAAAAAGATAATTTATCATAATCAACTAGGATTCATCCCAGGTATACATGGACAGTTTAATATAAGCAAATTAATAAATGCGATATAGGACATCAACAGAACGAAGGGGGGAAACATATGATCATTTCAATATCTAACAAAAAACCATTCAACAAAATTCAATCAACTTTCCTTCATGATAAAAACTCTCAGAATATTGGTACAGAAAGAACACACTTTAACACAATAAAGGCCATATATGAAAAACCCACAGCTAGTATCATACTAAATAGGGAAAAACTGAAAGCTTTTTCCAAGATCTGGAGCAAGACAAAGATAACTGCTTTCACCACATTTACTTAACATAATACTAGAAGTCCTAGCCAGAGAAATTAGAAAAGAGAAATAAATAAAAGGCATCAAAACTGGAATGAAAGAAGTCAAATTATTCTTGTTTGAAGACACTACAATCTTACATTTAGAAGAAAAAAAAACCTGTGGATTCTACCAAAAAAAAAAAAAAAAACATTAAAACTGATAAATGCAATAAAGTTGCAGAATACAAAATCAGCATACATAAATCAATAACATTTCAATAGACCAATAGTGAACAATCTAAAACGGAATTCAAGAGAGTAATCTCATTTAAAATAGATATAAATAAAATATTAGAAATTAACTCACCAAAGAAGTGAAAGATCTCTACATGAAAACTATGAAATATTGATGAAAGAATTTGAAATGTAAACAAAATGATGAAAAGGTATTTCATGTTGATTAATTGAAAGAATATTGTTAAACTGTTCATGCTACCCAAAGTACTCTGCAGATTCACTGCAATCCCTATCAAAATACCAATGACATTCTTCACAGAAATAGCAAAAATAATCCTAAACTTTATATGGAACTACCAAAGTCTCAGAGTAGCCAAAGCAATCCTGAGCAGAAAGCTGGTAGCATCACATTACCTGACTTCAAATTATACTACAAAGCTATAGTAACCAAATAAGCATGGTGCTGGCATAAAAACAGACACATAGGCCAATGGAAAAAAACAGAGAACCCAGAAATAAATCAACGTATTTATACGTTTTGAAATAGGCAACAAGAAATACAAGGGGAAAAGGAAAGTGTCTTCAATGAATGGTGCTGGGAAAACTAGATATTCACCTGCAGAAGAATGAAACTAGACTCCTATCTCACATCATATATAAAAATCAAACATAAATTAAAGACTCAAATGTAAGACCAGAAACCAGAAACTATTAAAACTCTGGAGAAACATGCCGGGACACTGGCCTGAGCAAAGATTTCTTTCATTAGATCTCAAAAGTACATGTTACCAAACAAAATAGACAAAGCTAAAAAGCTGTTGCTCAGCAAAGGAAACAATAAAGTGAAGAGACAGCCCACTGAATGGAAGAAAATATGTGCAAATTATCCATGTGACAAAGGATTAAAATCAGAATATATAAGGACCAAAACTACAAATAATCCAACTAAAAAAAGGGCAAAGAATCTGAGTAGATATTTATCAAAAGGGGACATATAAATGGCCAACAGGGATATTTTAAAAAAAAAGCATAACATCATAAATCATGAGAGAAATGCCAATAAAAACTACAATGAGATATCATCTCACCACAGATAAAATGACTTTTACCAAACGACAGCCAATAATAGATGCTGGCAAGGATGTGGAGAAAGGGGAAACTTTGTACACTATTGGTACAAATGTAAATTAGTATAGCCACTATGGAGAACAAGATGAAGGTTCATAAAAAATCTAAAAATTACTATCACCTGATCCAACAATCCCAATGCTGAGTATATGTCCAAAAGAAAATAAATCAGTATATCAAAGAGATATCTGCATTCCCTTATTTATTGCAACACTATTAACAATAACCTAGTTATATAATCAACCCAAGTATCCATGACTAGAAGGCTAAAGAAAATATAGTACTTATACAAAATGGATATTACTCAGCCATAAAAGAGAATGAAATTCTGTCATTTGTGATTACATGTATAGAACAGGAGGAGACTCTATTAAATAAAACAAGTCAGGTACAGAACGACAAGTATTAAATTTTCTCACTGACATTTTGAAGCTAAAAAAAAATTTATCCCATGAAGATTGAAAGTAGAATGATGGTTATCAGAAGCTGGGAAGGGTAATGTGGTGGGGGTAGAAAAGAATAATTGGTTAATGGGTACAAAAATAGTTTTGAATTAGCCGGACGTGGTGGTGTGTGCCTATAGTCCCAGCTACTCTGGAGGCTGAGGCAGGAGAATTGCTTGAACCCAGGAATGGGAAGTTGCAGTGAGCCAAGATCACACAACTGCACTCCAGCCTGGGCAACAGAGTAAGACTCCATCTCAAAAAAATAAAACTAAAAAATACAGTTTTGACTGAAGAAATAGTGTTTGGTAGAACAATAGGACAACTATAGTAAGCAATAATTTATTGTATATTTCAAAATAACTAGAAGAGAGAAATTGGGATGGTCCTAACACAAAGAAATGATAAATGCTTGAGGTGATATCTATCTCCATTACCCTCATTTCATCATTACACATTGTACACTTGTATCAAAATATCACATGTACCTCATAAATATGTAAAATTGTTATGTATCCATAAAAATATTGAAACATACTTTACATTAGATAAAAAATCAGTCACATTTTCAAAGATAACTTTATAAATATATTTATAACATTATTTAGTGGTAGAAAGTTGGATGCAATTTACATGAAAATTCATGATAGTTATGAATACTACCATATAGGCATATGATAAAATACTGTCTGGCCATTAAAAGCATATTTTTAAAGACTATCTTATGAAAGACAAAATGCCCATGTTATATTAACTTAAAAATTAAATTTATTTTTACTGTGAGGTCAGTATCTGGGTGGAGTTCAAATTTAATTTTTTTATTTATATATATGTTAATTTTTTTCTACAATCAATATTTATTAGTTTTATTATCAAGAAAAATAAATAGTACTATTTTTGAAAGAAATTAAACAAAATAGATTTTTCATTACCTTTAAATGAAATACCTAAAGAAGACTTGGTCTGTAACAATTACATATTTTTTGTTATCTAATGAATTTTATAACATCACATATATGTAACAAATTTTTTAAAAATAAACCAGTATTCATAACCAAATTTTTCATATTAGGAATAGGAAAATGTATAAAAAAATACTGAGAAATATATTAAAATGCTGTTCTTTTTGTTTGTTTGTTTTGTTTTAAGACAGAGTCTTGCTCTGTTGCCTAGGCAGGAGTGCAGTGGCATGATCTCGGCTCACTGCAACCTCCACTTCCCAGGTTCAAGTGATTCTTGTGCCTCAGCCTCCCAAGTATCTGGAATTACAGGCATATGCCACCATGGCTGGCTTATTTTTGTGTTTTTTGGAGAGATGGAGTTTTGCCATGTTTCCCAGACTGGTCTCAAACTTCTGAGCTCAAGCAATCCACTTCCCTTGGTCTCCCAAAGTGCTAGGATAACAGGCGTGAACCACTGGGACCTGGCCGAAAATTCTGTTCTTATTTCTAAAACTCATGCCTTTTTTAACTTCAAGGGACACGTAGTTTTGAATTAATGGAGGGTTTCTTTTGGCAAAAAAAAAAAAAAAAAAAAAAAGGAACTTTGACTCTCCTCACCCTCTATGCCCTAAAATTAACTCAAATCTTAAAATCTAAAACCATAAATCTTCCACAAAGAATTTTCATGGCCTTGACATAGGCAAAGATTTCTTAGCTAGAACAATAAAAGAAGCATAAAAGAAAAAAAAATATGTTAGATTTCATCAGAGTTAAAACTTTCTGCTCTTTCAAAGACCCCATTTAGAAAAATAAAAAAGGCAAGCCACAGGCAATCCAATTCAAAAATGAACAAATTGAATGTAGTTCATAAAAGAAGTCTGGCCACAGACACAGACACAGACACACAAAGAGAGAAAATGATGCTCAATATCAATAGTTACCAAGAAATCCCAATTAAAATCACAATGAGATACCACAATTAACTTAGTAAAATGGCTAAAACTTAAAATTCTGGCTATGATGTGTTGGCAAGGATGTGAAGTAACTAGATATTTCCTACATTGCTGATGGGAATAGAAAATAGTCTAACAACTTGGGAAAACAGACTGGCAGTATCTCACAAAATTAAACATACACTTGGCATATGACTCAGCACTTCCATCCTTTGGTATTTTCCCAAGAGTTGTGAAAACATATGTCCACACAAAGAGTTGTGTATGAATGTAGCAGCTTTATTCATAATAAGGAAAAGAGGGAAACTACCTAAATGTCCACAAGCTAGTGAAAGAATAGTGATATTTTACTCTAGCCACATGCTATGCTCTGAATGTTTCCCCAAAATTCATATGTTGGAAACTTGACCCCCAGCATGGAGGAATAGGGAGATGGAGGCTTTCAGATGTTTAAAAGTGAGACCTCTGTCCTAATTAATAGAATTAATGCCACTACTAAAAGGATTGATAGGCACATCAAGACAACAATGCTCCTCCTCTTTGGAGAACAAAGCAACAAAGCACCAACTTGGAACTAGAGAACAATCCTGCTGGCACCTTGATCTTGGCTTTCTACACCTCTGAAAGTGTAAGAAATAAATTTCTGTTCTTTAATAATTACCGATTCCACATGCTCTCTTATAGGAGCATGAAATAAAGAAACCATACAACAGAATTTTTTATACAACAGAACCACTGATACACCCAATACATGATTAATCTCAAAACACTTATGCTGAGTAATACAATTCAATTTTTCATATTTGCTAGAATGGACAAAGGTAACTAATAGTGACAAAAACCAGATCAGTGGTTATCAGGCCCCAAGTGGAATGATGGATTGCCTAGAGGTACAAGGGACATTGTGCAGGGGGAGTCATGATTGTGAGATTAAATCTGGGATCCCTTTGTCCAAACTCATCAAACTGTACCATTAAAATGGAGCTTTTTATCATATACCTCAATAAACTTGATTTTTAAAATAAAGTTTCTTAATTATTCTCAAAGCTGTACTTACCTGGAGTTTTACTTATTGGCCAAACCATAAGTTCTTTTCTACAGTTGCAGTTCAGTAGTTTTCCTCTTTGGAGTTTTCACTCTTAAAACTTTCCAACATTACTTTATTTTCATTTGCTATTTATTTTAATTTGCTATTGTTTCCATTTATTAGCTGCTTTTTACACAAAAGTCAAATACACCACCCATCTCCATCTTTTTCAAAGTTCCTCAATCTTATTTTCTGAGTGCTCCTGCTGAGTCTTCTACGTACTGATTCATTCCACATACTCCACATGATATGTCTACTCCGTCTAGAACTTGCTTTTTAATCTCATACCTTATTGAATATTACAATGTCAATATGCAGTGATCTTACGAAAACTAACGTGTATCATGGAGTCAGTGAAAGTATATACAGTATAACACAAGGCAGGTTGTAAAGGAATAAATATCATCTCTAGACTATAAATTTGCCCAATTTGAGCTATAAATCAAATTATACGGACCGGGAAAATATTCTATATTTGGGTTATATGTAAACTAAACAATTTTTTAAGCCTATAGTATGTGAGTGTCTAACTTGGAAGTTATTAAAAGGGAGGTTCAAAATATAAGGGAACCAGTGAGTAAAAAGAGAGACATAGAGAATATCATGATAGAAGATTTATTATTTTGCAAGGAAGGATATAAAGAAATAGTAATTTTATAAAAGAAGGGATCTCATACAGTAAATTCTTGACCTAGAGTAAAATGACAGATTATTTAAGAAATAAGCAATATAGAACAAGTCATATTTATGCATGTTATATCAAGTTACATCAAGTTTCTTAATTATATACATAAACTGGCTACTCTATGGTAATGAAAACAGAGTACCAAGCTTATCATGCATTCTTTATTCAATCAGCAACTGGGCACCCACTATAAGCTCTCCATCAAGTCTAGGGCTAAATTTCATCCACTAGCCCCAACAAACTTCCTTGTTCAAGTAACTTTATTAGGAGTCTTGGACCATTGACCCAGCAGATGCCTTCCCCCAGTGGCAGACAAGCAGTTTCCTGAATATATTTCTTCAGTGATTCCACTGTTGGGTGAGCTTTTTGGTGGCTCAGGGTTTCCAGGGTCTCCCCTTGAGCAATGCCATTTGCTCTCTCCCTTTGTTATTTGATAATATTTGATCCCCTTCTCTGCCTCTTTCTGTTTTCATATCTACTGGGGCAAACAAAATTTGGCCAAGTAGATGGTCCCGATTTTGTGAACAATTTAATCTAGTTGCCTTCTATAGATAACTTTATTTAATGTGTTTGTTTAGGTATATATATAGGTACTGTGATGTGTATTTTGTCTAACATGCTATCAAATTGGTTTATAAATAAAAGTGTTCATAAATTAAATAAGATTAGTCAAAGCTTATTAGTTTGAAGACAATTATATGTATTCTGAAATTTGGCATTAAGATTTTCACCTCGGGCCGGGCGCAGTGGCTCAAGCCTGTAATCCCAGCACTTTGGGAGGCTGAGGCGGGTGGATCATGAGGTCAAGAGATCGAGACCATCCTGGTCAACACGGTGAAACCCCGTCTCTACTAAAAATACAAAAAATTAGCTGGGCATGGTGGCGCGTGCCTGTAATCCCAGCTACTCAGGAGGCTGAGGCAGGAGAATTGCCTGAACCCAGGAGGCGGAGGTTGCGGTGAGCCGAGATCGCGCCATTGCACTCCAGGCTGGGTAACAAGAGCGAAACTCTGTTCCAAAAAAAAAAAAAAAAAAGATTTTCACCTTGGTAAATCATTGATGATCATAGGCTTTAAAATGGTTAACATGGCTTTAAATGGTGGCTAGATCTGCACAGTATCTTGGTTCTTGAAGATAGTCTACATAAAACTGTTAAAAGTGAAAGAATGGAATAGATGCTTAAATAGTGAGTTTATTATGTGGTTTAAAGTCTTAAAATGATAGAATGATACTTATCTTAGAATGCCAGTGTCTGGTGGGCAGTTGAGGATTTCTTACTTCCTAGTTTTATATAAAATGTGCCAAAAAATGTATTCTTTATTGGGAAAAATAATTTTGTCTAATTTGGATGTTATTAAAAGGGAGGTCCAAAATATGAGGGAACCAGTGAGTAAAAAAGAGAGATGTAGAGAACATCATGAATAGAAGATTTGTTATTATTGCAAGGAAGGATATAAAGAAAGAATAATTTCATAAAAGAAGGGATCTCGTATAGTAAATTCTTGTCCTAAAGTAAAATCACTGGTTATTTAAGAAATAAGCAGTATAGAACAGGTCAGAACATTCATGCATGTTATAGATGATCTGCGTTAAGTCTCAATACAGTTTGTAAAGATGAATGTATGGAAGTATTAAAAGGAAATTGTCTATAACAGACTTTTTAGAAAATGGTTTCTGTGTCTGAACCAAATTTTCTTAAAGTATTAATTTTCTAAATTACCAAAATTTTTATTTTCAATCCTGTGATCTATTTCCTTTGAAATCTCAGATTCATGTAGCTCTCTTCTTTATCTGTTTTGTTAGATCCTTTGAAATTTTCTACTCTGATTATGAATGCTGTTGTGGCCTAATGCTAAAGCATTTTATCTTAAAAGTCTGTGGGAGCGGTGTTATCTCCCAACATAGCTTAATTGTATGCTATCAGTGTTCCTTGATGTGTAACCTCATTTTGGCTTTTGGTTTTTTAGGGTTTTGAGGCTTGCATGGCGCCTGCCCAACTCCGTTCCCTTTGGCCTATGGATTTTGATTTTGTTTTTTTTTTGTTTTTGTATTCCACCTTTTTTGTTAGGGTGTGCTGACGGCAGTGTTTATGCCAAACTTTTATTTTGTCCTGTACCAATGCTAGAGTAGGTGTGCTGCCTGCTCTGGGTCCATCGTGTCCCTTGGTAGGGCCCCCAGAGCCAGAGGACTTCAAGTCAGGGGAATTGTAGCCAGCTGGATGTTTTTAGACAGATGAGAGTGAAAGTGGGCAAGTACTCCTTGGCAGTCACAGAGCTGTAACCCCACCAGAGCTATATCACTGCCTGTTCAATAAAACTGTTTTCTTCCACCTGTGGCTTGCTTGCCCTTGAATTCTTTTCTGGGTAAACCAAGAACCTTTACAATCTAAGATCCACTTTGGCGCTTGCCTGCCAGCATCAAATCCACACTTTTTTTAAGAGAAACCATCAATGATCCCTTTTCCTAGAGAACAAGGTTAAAATTCCTTTCCCTAGCACTCAGTCCTTTAAAATCTGTCTTTCTCCAAATGTTCAACCTACGATCTAGAAACGCTTTTATGTATGATTCTGCTCCTATCAACTAATTCACTGACTTCTTATATCCTTATTTTGGGAAAGGCAACATGCTTCTCCTAGTAGTTCACTTCCTTCTGCTATCCCTTCTCTCCCAATTTTCAAAAGTCCATAAAACTCTCATATTTCAAGGCCTCTTAACTCTTACAGTTTATTTGGCACCTCTCTTACAGTAGACATCACTTTCTGTTTTGTAATATATTATTTATATATGCATCATATCTCTGGTGCCTCTACTGAACGAATGAATGGTATCAATTATTTTTATTAAGATTTGGGGGAAAATTGGTGTTTCACTATTGCTTTCAATTTTTAACTAGTTTTTCTAAGACTTGTTAGGTTGCCCCCAAAACTCACTGATAAAAAAAAAAAAAACTGTAATCTAAATTAATCAGTACGCTTTATAGACTCAATAAATGCAAAATTGCTAGTTTGAAATAAGGCTAGGTGAGACTGACAAAGGTACTTTTCACTTTCCTATTAAATAAGACGTATTTTACCCAAAGTCAATGGCCATGTCTATGTCCTTCAGAAATACTCCTGTTGATATAAATATTTCCTACATAGTGTATAAATGTTATGATTACTTTGGCTAAAAGGAGTCTAGGCATGCCTGGGCCAGGGGCACAGCAGTTTACGGTTTCAACATATGGGCTCAAAAGTCTGACAAACCAGCTGTGAGTCCTTTCTTCCCTCTTACTAGAGGTCTGTAACCTTGGGGAATTTAATTAACCTTTCCATAGTCCAGTTTCTCATACATAAATGAGTACAATAATAGGACCTTCTTTTAATGCTGCTTTTGAAATTACAGAAAATGCTTGTAAAGCACCTAGCATAGTAAACTCAATAATTCTTTGCTATTTATTTTAATAAATGATTATTACAATATAATTATTTATTAAAATACATTATAATATTGATAATTTATTGTTATTCCTGACATTACTATGCCTGTGTAGAAGAGCAAATGGGTCAGAGTGAATTGTAGATAAGAGTATGAAAGAGAAAAGCAAATATCAGAGCTCAAAATTTTATAAGGCCTATTATTTTTGTAAGCTGTATACAGAACTGATTGAAAATTATCTGGGACATACATGCCCTTAATCCAAATTAATCAAGTTGATATATTCCACTTTTTTAAGATTACAAGTATTATAATCTGAACATTCCAGTGGTTATAAGAATATATTAAGGGCTATTCCAATACTGACAATGCACTGTAATCAATCATACCCTTCTACCTATCCTGAAAAGGATGAAGCCATACATTTTAAAAATATGCTTTTAGTTTTACTGCTTTAATTCACCAGTCTTTAGTTTTTCCATCTGTAAACACGGGAATTCTCCCCCAAAGCATCAAAGATTAATCAGACAAAATCAGCAAACATTTCCTCTTTAATAAATGGATGCATGGCTATAAGGAAGAGATAATTTTAAAAGCAAAAAAGGAAAAGGCTGACACAATAGCCTACTGTCAAACATGCAAGAGAGCAAGGCCACCTGTCTCCCTGGATTTATGAGAAGAAGCTTTAGCCTCCCTGGCAGCACCAAGAAAAATGTAGAGATTTTGAACTGAAATCATTGGTCAGCAATTCTACTCATTTTCTTGATATTCCCCAATTCAGAGCAGTATTGGGGAGGTATGAGGAACAAAAGTAAGTAAGAGTAACTGCAAACCTTAAAATGCCAGAGAAGGTAGTGACTGTCTTACTAATTATCTGCAAGCAGAATGATCACTAGTAAATATTTTCCAGGCTAAGATTTACACATCCTACTGGCTAAGGAGATCTGGAGAGTGTAGAGTGTCTCTGAGAATAAAGACAAAACATTGAGTTTTCAGAATGTGTATCTCCACACTGGTATCCAAATGGAAACACAATACTTGAATTCCAATGAAAACTAGCATTTACTAATGACAGAATTATATTGTGAACTTATACTAAAACAACCAAAGCTTGTTCCATTGGTTGTAAAAGTTCTGGAAGACATCTTTACCCTCTCTTTGCCTTAGTTCCTCATATGTAAAATAATAATAATAATGCCAACTTTACAGATTTTTAATGAGAATTTACTAATGTAGCACTTGTAAATAATTTACAATAGTTGATACTTAAAAGTATTACTGTGTTATTATTGACTAATGTATGCATCTTTTTCTATAAAATCAGAAATTCTTTCTCTGTCATTTTTCCCCTTTTTCAAGTACATTTCATTTCATTTTCTATGCATATGTCATATGTTTAAGGTTCAGAATAAGACAAAGAAAGGTAGGTTTCCTTGCCTTCTAGAATATCATGGGAAGTTAATATTGAGTATTAACTTGATTGGATTAAAGGATGCAAGATTTTGTTCCTGGGTGCGTCTGTGAGGGTGTTGCCAAATGAGATTAACATTTGAGTCAGTGGACTAGGAAAGGCAGACCCACCCTCAATTTGGATGGGCACCATCTAATCAGCTGCCATCAGGCTATGATAAAGCAGGCAAAGGAAAGTGGAGTACTAGACTGGCTAAGTCTTTTGGCCTTCATCTTCTGTAATGGATGCTTCCTGCCCTCGAACACTGAACACCAAGTTCTTCAGCTTTTGGACTCTTAGATTTACACCAATGGTTTGCCAGGGGCTGTTGAAACTTCAACCACAGATTGAAGGCTGCACTGTCACCTTTCCTACTTTTGAGGTTTTGGGACTTGGACTGGTTTTCTTGCTCCTCGGCTTGCAGACGATCTATTGTGGGAATTCGCCTTGTGATTGTGTCAGTCAATACTCCTTAATAAACTCCCCTTTATTTATACATCTATCCTATTAGTTCTGTCCCTCTAGAGAGCCCCAACTAATACATATCATAACATTATGTCCCTTTTGCCCTCTGTGATAAGAAACCGCTGGAGTTTCTAAGCAGATCCCTTCCCATTATGTCATCTCTGTAGGACCATTTCTCATCTCAAACCAAATAGTATCTATAGACTAACCAAAAGCTAGATAATAAAGTAGTTGGTTTTCTATAGGCTTATTTTCTTAAAGCTAGAAACATATAATCATTCATTTTGGACTGGTATGATTTTAAAAATCATGATTCATATTCATTTCATATTACATATTGCAACTGAGGCCCAGAGAGATTAATCTACTTGCCTGAGAATATAGGCCATAAGTTGGGGAGCCAGGACAGGGATTCACTATGTCATAATGCCCATACAAACCTACCACATGCCCTCAAATTTCCACAAAGTCTTTGCAGATGCACTGTGGCATCACTGGCCTTTTTAAATACCTATACTCTCAAATACCTATTCTAACTCTGCCAGAATGGGAGTGGCAGCACTTAGTATTCCATACCACTTATGAATTTGAAATGTCTTTGGTGCACTTTAATTCCAGGTGGCATCAGAGTGGCACAAAAGGGTTAATATCATCCCCTAACAAGTACTTACCTTACCCAAGAGCAGTCCTTTAGAAGAACAGAAAAACAAATCATGTTCATGGGTCTGTATCTAATATTGGAATAGGTCTACATCCTCCCATAAAGTCCCTGAAATCATTTCCTTTTTACAGCATGATTCAATAATTGATGTGTAAAATGAAAATACTGACTCTGTAATAAATATTCCATTATAGTCCATAAACTTCATCTTTAAAAAGGAGATGATAATGTAATCCATTTTAGAAAAATCTCCATTAAAGTGACTCTTTTATTTTTTAAGTTTGTTATTTAGAGTTCAATTATGTAGCCAACTTCCTACTGAACAGTTCCTTTCAGAGGCCTAACAGGCATTTCAAATTCAACATGTCCAAAATAAACT